CTTTTCTGTAGCGTCTCCATTCATGTCTATAGAACTAAAAACGCAACTTGTTGCGTTCAAAAAAGTCTCTGTTTCCAAAAAATGCACCAGGCGAAAACACAAGGATGTGAACCTGTCCCATAGGAAATCATGTGAAATGGACTGTATTGCGTTTCTGCAAAACGCTGTGGAAAACGCTTAGGTATGTACCAAGGGTGACTGCTTGTACCCTGTGGTCAGGTTATGGGTCTCCATAAGACAGGTCTGCACCCAGTTGCTATGGAAGATGGACTGCTCAGGGGGGAGCTAAACACTTACCCCCCCCCCCCCCCCCTACCGGAGGACCTGCCACCTTACCATTTACCACACCTACGACTGGTTGCTTCTTGTCATGGATTTTTGCTTGGTTGCTCCAAGCAATTGGTTTCCTTGTCCTTGACTTGCTGATTAGACCCCTTCTTGATGTAGTGTGACTTCATACCCGATGCCTGGCCCCGAATGCAGACAGCGTGTCCCAAGTTATATGAATGGGACTCTTGCATGGAGATGAGACCTAACTCCCATGTGCCTGTGGGGGAGTTAAAGTGTTTTGGATGTGGTCACTTACAGACCACCTACTGTGATCTACCAGTAAACCTAATTAAGGTAGAAATGCATGCACATGGAAGTAAGACACTGACACTGTTTGCAGTTTGCCAACTTCCTAATTTCTACTTTATTGAGGAACTAAACATAGCATTTATAGGTCTTATGACGTAAGCAAAGCATATGTGATGATTGGGTGAAAAGTCCGCTAAGTTTGCTGTGTATTCTTTCATCCGCATTGATATCTTCCAATCATTGTCACAAATAAAACTCATTCCCTTTATATTGGGGGTTGTTTACGTTGAAAGGTGCTTTTCCTTCTAATGAGTCACCTCGGGTGAGACTCCGGATGAAGGCGCCATCTTAATTATCATTGTTCTGTTAACCTGTATCTGATTGTTTACTTAACTAGTAGCCGACCGCAGATAGCCGAATGACGGCTGCACTGCGGCCGGCCAGTTCTGGGTGGACGTCATATGACGTCCTCCCAGAACGCGCTGGCGCGCACCCGGCGATCTCCGTGATCGCTGTGTCCTATGGACACAGCTGATCACATGATGTGGTAAAAGGCCAATCACAGCGGCCTTTTACCACCTGATCAGCGGTGTCCAATGACACGCTGATCAGAGGGAAATGCAAGTGCCGGTTCTCGGCTGCACTTTCCTCATGCTGTCAGATCGTGAGGAAAGTACTGCCGAGAACCGGCAGTTGTCAGAGCGGGGATCGGCACCGATCATCAGGGCACTGATGATCATTGCCCTGATGATCGGTGCCCAGCAGTGCCACCCGCAAGTTCCGCCCACCTGTGCCCAGCAGTGCGCCCACTAACTCCGCCCACCTGTGCCCAGCAGTGCGCCCACTAACTCCGCCCACCTGTGCCCAGCAGATCACCCACCTGTGCCCAGCAGTGCATCCACCTGTGCCACTCTGCAGTGTCACATACCTGTGCCCAGAAGTGCCACCTACCTGTGCCCACCTGTGCCCACCCACCTGTGCCCACCAGTGCCACCCACCTGTGCCCACCCACCAGTGCAGCCCAGCAGTGCTGCCAGTCAGTGCCACCAGTCAGTGCCCAGCGGTTGTGCCAGTCAGTGCCGTCTATCAGTACCCATCATCAGTGTCACCTATCAGTGCCGCATATTAGTGCCGCCTATCCGTGACACCTCATTAGTGCTGTCTATCAGTGCCGCCTATCCGTGCCACCTCATTAGTGCTGCCTATCAGTACCCTTTAGTGCTGCCTATCAGTGCCCATCAGCGCTGCCTCATCAACGCACATCAGTGAAGGAGAAAAATTACCTGTTTGAAAAATTTTATAATAGAAACAAAGAAACTTTTTTTTTTTTTTTCAAAATTTTTTTGCACCTTTTTTATTTATAGCGCAAAAAGTAAAGTGCCCAGTGGCAATTAAATACCACCAAAAGAAAGCTCTATTTGTGAGAAAAAAATGATAAAAATTTCATATGGGTACAATGTTGCATGACCGCGCAATTGTCAATCAAAGTGCGGCAGCGCTGAAAGCTGAAAATTGGCCTGGTAAATAAGGGGGTATAAGTGCCTGGTAGGCAAGTGGTTAAGAGAGTAAGGAATTTAAAGAGCAGGAGGCAAAGAGAAGCAAAACTATAAAATTGTCATTTTACTGATCTTCTGATAAAACATAGGTTATCTATCATAATCCATTACAAAACATCCTAGACCTAGGCGGACCACCCAAGCAGCTGATGGGCCTGAACCTGGATGAAGATAGAAGTACCCGCGAAGGAAAGCCACGCGGGCAGAAGCGTTGGCAAGGTAAGTCCGGCAGATTGTTCTAATATGCGGTTCATATGGAGAGGGGGTTTGCAAGATGCTGAACATAAATGCACATTATGGCAAAAGCTCCTGGAGGCCCCAGGATGTTCTAGTGGTTTTAGTTCCACTTTAAAGTGGAACTTTAGTCAGAAAATGAAGTCCTGTTAGATCACCTCAGGCGGGCCCCTTTTGTAGGTATAGCTATGTAAAACAAAAATTATGTACAGTATATGCTGTTTAAAATCCTGTAATAAACTGTCTCCTCCTGCTCTGCACGTGCTCAGTTGCTCTTAATTTTTAGGCACTGCTGAATTTGTAGAGGCCGATCTGCTGAAGGTTTACAGTGGAATTAAATCCTTCTGTCCTTTTACAGCCAAGGAAGCTGCTTCTGTTTGATCTGCAACTTCCATGGTGCTGCACATGTGATCGGTTATGGCACCAGACATTTGATGGTTTGACAGTTTGGTTGGGGGAAAAAAAGCAAATGTAACAGTTAGCAATCCCAGCATTCCAGGAATGTAACTGTTTTTTGAAAATCGATTTAGTTCTGCTTTATGATTTACTGCAGTTCAGCTGCTCTGAGCTTCAGCAGAATGGCAGCCTCTGACAAGAAGAAACAGAAACAATGCTGGAGGCAATTGGAGGCAATGAGCACACCCTCATTTTGGTAGCATAATTATTACTGTGGAATTTATGTTCCTTGCTATAGAATATTATTTTTTATCAAGTTGCTTTAATGTCCCACTCTGGGGTTAAGTTGCTAAAACTTTTTTTTTCTTTTTCCCCTCCTACCTCTAACCAATCCTACTAAGAATTTTTTCCCTTTAACTAGAAAACCCAGATTTGCTCAGCTAAGTCCCCCCTTCATATCTCTCACTGCCTCTGGTTGTGGATGCAGAGGACCACAAATCTATCAGTCCTATGGGAACCTAAGATCACCGGTCCCCAACCATCTCCCTGTGGTAACATCAGGCCTCTTCTGAATCCTGAGAGAACCCCTCTGCTGGACATTTAATAGGAAGTGTCCACATCATGCAGGCACTCACGTAGACACCCAAAGGAGGTACCAAGCAGGAAGTAAACAGAAGAGAAAACTCTGGGCAGGGGCGTCCTGTGACTGCAGCTTAATGGCCAAGTTCACCTTTTTTTCTTTTTATTCCAGCTCACCTATGTAACACACACACACTTAATCTACCTCTTGCAGAAAAAATAAAAAAATTTCGATTTTTAGAACAAGGCCTTACTTTAGCCCCTGCTGTGTTCCATAGAAAGGTTTATGAGTTCCTGGTATGTAGATTTGAGACATTGAAAGCAGTTCACCAACTGAACTCATTCGCACACACCCTGCACCCATCCATGATGTTTGCACAGCATCCCTCCAGGCATACATTTGCTTGGCTTATTGATGTAGGCTGCCACAGCTGCTATGTTTGCACAGCATCCCCAGCATCTCTCCAGACAGGCCCAAGCCACAGGTTGGAAACCCCTGATGTAGTGCAAGGGCCTGCTTGATTGGATACAGCGTGAGTGTAAGCTGAGCTGCACAGGCGCTGGAGAAGACAGTGAGCAGACAGGTAATTACATGTCTCTTCTGCAATAAAAAGTCTGCATGTTTGCTTTTTTGCAGCATAACTTCAGTTCTGTTTTAACCAGTTCCCAAACCGCGCTATAGCCGAAGGATGGCTACAGCTCGGTTGTGTAATCCTGGGACAACGTCCATGGACATCATTCCAGAACATGTCCCCCAGCGCTGTGCACCCGGCGCCGCTGGTGATCGTTGTGTCCTGCGGACACACAGCTGATCATGTGATACGGTAAACGGCCAATCTCCTCCGACGACAAAAATTGGCCAATTTTCAACCCATCTATGGCCTGCATTAGGGGCCCGTTTATACTTAAAGTTTGTCAGTTAGATGTTGTGACCCCTACTGCTGTCTTGTGACTGTCTTTCTGCTGTTGACAGTCAGGCTTCAGTTATAGTTAAAGGTACAACTTTTTGTTTTGGACGGAGTGGAGAGGGATTAGAACATCTGTAAGGTTTTTATTGCTATCTGTGCCCACATTAGGAAGGATCACACACTCTATTTGCCCTGTTTACTATTATCACGAAGAGTGAAAGTGAAGGAAAATTCTACATTGTGGATTATCATCAGAACAGGACTAGAGGAAAAGAGAAATCTTCCAATGGGGACGGGATGGCTATGGGACAGGAAATGAAGGAAAACTCCCTAATGGAACATGGGTTTTATTTTTGCCATCTGATGGGTTATAACCCTCCCTTGCTTTATCCAAAATGAAATTTGCCTTTAGTTCTATTTTAACCCCTTGACGCCGTCACACAAATATGCAGCCTCACAGAACTGGCCTTTTTTCCATGGGGCTGCATATTTGCATACCTGTCTTTGTGCTGGGGGCATGCCACACAGCGTGCTCCCAGCACAAAGACCGGGGTGTCACTGAGAGCACCAGGTCCCGTTCTAATGATTGGGACCTAGAACTCGCATGATGGCTGTGATAGCCTCTGATTGGCTATTACAGAGATCAGTCACTGTACAGCCCGGCCCCCTTGTTTTTTTTCTCTCTGAATGGAGGAGAGAGATACACTGTATCTCTTCTCCAACTCCTGGCATAGAGGGGAAAAAAATGTTTGTTAAAAAAAAAAAAAAAATAAAGAAAAAATACCTAGATCAAGGTTTGATCTAGTTCAGTTCCAGGGTAAGTGTTTGGGTCAGGGTCAAAGGTCAGGATTTTTTTAAAATTGGTATTAGTGCCAGTTAGAGTCAGTGTGTTTTAGGTGAACGAAAAACAAAATGCGCACTATTGTTTCTGGGCTGTACTACGGGTACAAAACAACACACACACATATATATGGTATCGCTGCGATTGTCAAGAGCTGGAAAATGTATTTTGGCTTGTTCTTTGGTGGTAGGTTATGGTAATAACAAGAAAACACACAGCTAAATTAAAAAAAAATGGGTTTTTTTTTACTATTTTGGGCCAGTTTTCCTTTGATAAAAAAAAAATAAATCAGGAGATACCCATTACCATTTAACACCAAATGAAAGCGCACAATTTGTCCTGAAAAATACAAGGTATAATTCACCTGGATGTACAAAGTAGTTGTGATGATATGTACGGTTTCACTAACACATGTCAACATTGAAAAATTGTGCTTAGGAGTTAAGATTTGCTTTACCCTTAGGCGTGAAGGGGTTAACCTAAGAAGATGATTGCTATTGATGAAACCTCTAATTCTACTTTCCTCCAGCCTACTTAGATGATCTTAATTTCATGTTTTAACTCTTAGATTTGTCTTGGCTGCCAAGCTGATCCTAAAATACCTGAATTTGATTCGTCCCTTAACTACAGCCACAATTATGTCTCAAAAAGTAAAGGCAACAAAGAGCAAGAAAGAAGAATCTAGTAGCAAAAAGTCTGATGGCAGCCAGAACAACGAAAAAATGCTAGCGCCCAAACCCAAGTCATCTTCTACGGGCAAAAGTCCAAGGAAAAGAAAATCTGAGGGCTCTGCTATGGAAAAATCAAAAGCAGTATCTGAGGCAAGTAGTAGTGAAAGCTCGGATGTTGATGCCAAGAAGAGAAAGAAACAAAAGAAAGAGGATGCTGTAGGTGGAAGTCTCCAAGATGCATTGAAGAAGTCTCGTCTGTCTGCTGCTGCCTCTGTTTCAGACTTTAAATTTAACAAGAAGAGGGTGCGGTTGGTGTCTGTCGAAGAAAACCTGAAAGATGATGCCGAGGGCATAGTCTATTGGATGTCAAGAGATCAGAGAGTTGAAGGTACTTGTTTTTGCTTTGTGTATGCTGTTTTTTGTTTTGGGCCATAAGTAGTGGTTCTTTGTGGCTCATAGAAATGTGTTTTCTTTACTTTTGTATAGATGAGCAACTCAGTTTGCAATACGCAGATTTGCAATAAATCTGGTAAATCTAATACAGCACAGGAAATTATATTCAGTAGACAGCAAGAATAGGTGTGTTGGCGTGTGCTTATTCAAGGCATTGCTGAAGATTCATCTGTGCTTAAAGGATAGGTTTTTTTAAAAAAAAAACAAAACAATAAATGCATTTTTTGCAGGTAAAAAAGTGCATTTATTTATTTATTTTCTTGGGAACCTGTAAATCATTGCACCTGCCATCTGCAGATTATGGGTGCAATGTCAGGCTCTTGGAGACTGTCAGGACACTTGTCTGCCCATACCTCCAATACGGGCAGGTAGTTACTGCAGTCCAGGAAGCTCAATGGACCACGAGAGCGTTCACCACGCACTCGCAGTACATTAATCTCTTCACACCAAGCATACGCAAATATGCAGCCTCTCAGCGGCTGGGCCTTGACGCCGAGCGGTCGCATATTTGCATACCATTTGTAAATAAACATTCTGAGAGTGTGCGCCCTGCGTGCTCCCAGCATGTGTCAGCGTCCCACGGATCATGTGACTGCTGTGACAACCATTCACAGCGGTCACATGACCCTAAAACATGCCCCCCCACCTCCGGGCGTCAGAAACCCCTTAAAGGGCCGGGAGGTGCCTGGGCAAAGAACTACAAGCTGTCAGCTGCAAAGGCTGATAATATATATAGGCATTCATTCATAGTAAACTGTGAATGAATAATGCGGCCCTGTGGGTGGAGCCCTGCACAGCGCATTATTTTCAAATAGTGACAGTGGGCACGGGGAGAAGATCACCTGCTCGCTGTCACAGGGTGGAACATGTTCCAAAACATGAACTTATTTAAAGAAAATGCCTAAAAATTGCCAAAAAATTGTATACATGCCAGCAGGTGGAACAAGCCTGTCTTTTAGTCACAGGTTTTCATTGTGCACCTTTTACCACCTTCTAGCCTCTGGTGTCCTCACAACCAATCACATCATTGGTTGGTAAGGAGGATGTTGGGTGCCTGACATCGTCCTTGTTTGCCCTTCCCCTGCCCCATCCATCAGCACTGGGGTCATACTAGCTGAGTGAGAGAGAGAGAAACATTGCAATGCTACTAGTCAGTACCAGTGTGTAAAGGTGTACTTGCTTTGGAAGAATACATTACGTTGGGTGTCCTACATGTGTGGATGTTGCTCTGTTATGTAAAACTATTGGTTTAGTTTTTACATTTTAGAATTGGGTGCCTCGATGTTGTGCAGAATTGTAAAGGGTACCTTGATTGAAAAAGGATTTGGAACACTATTTTAACGACACAGTCAACATGCCCATGCAGGGCAAAGTGACATTTTTCTCTATACTCGCCTTACCTGCGCTCCCTTAGAGCTCCTTGATGCTGTAAGGAAGTAGAGGATTTGGGGGTTGAAGGATCTGTTCTGTGGAGACGCCGTCACATTTGTTTTTGCATGGACAAGGTGATAGTGTCTCTTTAAAATGACTCTGTAGCTGTTTAAATATAAATAGAAGCCCAGCAAAGAAATGCGTACCCCTCCAGCTTTCTTCAAGAAATAGCTTGCCAAAGAATTTTCATCACAGTTCTGGATGTGTTGGATGCTTGGTCCCCTACTATACTCTGTGGTTCCTTTGCTAGCCCCTAATCACTTCTATGCCCTGTTGGAAAATAGGGGCTGGCAGATAAAACCACACAGCGCAGTAAGTGACACTAGTAATTGGCAGAACATTTTTCAGCAAGGTCATGACAGTGGAGTTCAATGGCATAGGGTGGTGATCACAGTAGTATTTTAAAGGATAAGTTCACCTTTTGCACAAAAATAATAAATTCCCATTTTTGCAGGTTAAAAACAGCCTCACAGCCACTCTGTTTTCAAATCTGATGGATAGTTCTGGAAGCTAAAAATGGGTGGAACATGTAACATGTTCTGAAAGGTGAAATTACCCTTTAAACTATTTTTTTAGTCCTAAATAGAGCAGAGAGGGGATTAGAACTCCTTTTACACCTGTAAATCCAAACAGGAGAGGGTTGCTAATGCCTGTCAAATGTATTCGGCTGAAAGCATATACACTCACCGTGCCCAACTAGCAGTTTCCATCTGCTTATACGTACAAGTCCAACTCCAGAAACTTCAGCAACAGATGATTACAAAAATCTACTTAATTGCATAAAGGAGTAAAAATATTCCATGGCAAACTAATGGTAACGCGTTTCAGTCTAAAAGCAGACCTTGCTCATAGCTATGCATAAGGTCTGTTTGTGAGACTGAAACGCGTTACCATTAGTTTGCCAGGGAGACCTTTTACTCCTTTATGCAATAAAGAAGGTTTTTGTATTCACCTGCTGGCTGACAACATTTCTAGAATTAAAACCCCTGTTAGGTTTACTGCTATCCCAAGCTTCTTTAGAGGTTTCACAATGTTTACCAGACAGGAAGAACTCTTTAATGCCCACATAGACAGAAATCTAATTTTTTCTTTCCTAGATTTGTGAAAATTGTCAACTGTCAGATTATTCTTTTTGGCTGTGTTCCTGTTGCTGATTTTTCCTTGCTCCCTGTCCAGTGAAACCATTGTCATCAGGATAGGAAGTAAGCGGTACATCTCTCTAACAGAGCCCTGGATAGCAATATAAACCTGGCAGGAGTTTGATTTTTTTCTACATTTTATCCGGAACTTGGTGTTGCTCACCACTCAGTTGGAATGCTTTTGCTTGTCTCAGAGGTAAAGACTTTCTGTGTCCAACAGAATGTTGTTTCAAAGGCATGTGTCTGTTCAGTAGCTCAAAGTAAGATTTGAAAAAGGTCTGCCACCTCAAGATATGGTACTTTTTTATATTTTATAATATTTTATAAAATGTTGAATATGCAGAGAACTTCCTAAACCTGGGACGCGGAGAACATCCTAAACCTGGGACGCGGAGAACATCCTAAACCTGGGACGCGGGGACGCGGAGAACATCCTAAACCTGGGACGCGGAGAACTTCCTAAACCTGGGACGCGGAGAACATCCTAAAAACCTGGGACGCGGAGAACATCCTTCCTAAACCTGGGGAGAGCGGAGAACGGAGAGCTTCCTAAACCTGGGACGCGGAGGACCTGGGCACGCGGAGAACTTCCTAAAACGTGGGACGCGAGAACATCCTAAACCTGGGACGCGGAGAACATCCTAAAAACGCGGAGAACATCCTAAACCTGGGACGCGGAGAACATCCTAAACCTGGGACGCGGAGAACATCCTAAACCTGGGACGCGGAGAACATCCTAAACCTGGGACGCGGAGAACTTCCTAAACCTGGGACGCGGAGAACTTCCTAAACCTGGGACGCGGAGAACTTCCTAAACCTGGAGAACTTCCTAAACGCGGAGAACTTCCTAAACCTGGGACGCGTGGGACTGGGACGCGGAGAACATCCTAAACCTGGGACGCGGAGAACATCCTAAACCTCCTCCTAAACCTGGGACGCGTGGGACGCGGAGAATTTCCTAAACCTGGGACACACAGAATCTGGAGCAGCTGTGCACTGCAGTCAATCCGTTTTGTAACTTTCATTTTTCAAAGCCTAATTGATTAATTCACCTTTTAGGCTCTGTTCACACTTGTGTGACTTCAAAATCGTGCGATTTTCATTGTAAATTTACAGTGCGAATTGATGCAACTTTGGTGCAACATTGATTCAACTTTGGCTGAGTGCGACTGTGGCTTTTACCAAGGATGACTGTTTGTTGCACACGAGTCACATGTATAACATTAAGTGTGATTTTCATGCGACTTTGGAGGGTTTAAATTGAAGTCTGTGGCTCTCGGGGCGCATGAAAGTCAGATCAAAGTAGTGCAGGAACTACTTTCAAGTTGCTGTGAGTTGAAGTTGCACAGATATGAATAGTACTCATTGGGAAACATGGGGTGTGACTTGTCATGCGACTTTGTTCCCCAGAGTCGCATGACAAGTCTCACAAGTGTGAATGGGCTCTTACCAAAAAAAGCTGTCTGTGCAAGTAAGGGGCACCTGTAGATAAAAACAAAATGAAGTTTAAATAATGCACTTGCTAGAAATGTAGGCCATTTTCATACCTTCTAAACCCTGGCGGAAAAAGGCCCAGAGATGGCATCATCTTATTCTGCTTCGTTGCAATGATGTTGCTAAGACACTCCCAGCTGATTCAGACCCCCTCGCATGAGCGCTCACTTGCCTCTTGCAGTAGCTCTGAGCTTAGGGATGCTGAGATGGAGGAGAGTGCACCACACATGTGCAGAGATTAGAGAGCTCACTCCTGTAATGATGGATGTGAGCGGTAAAAGCTGGGAATGTCTTAGCAGCGTCCAAGCAACAAGGCAGAACTGAATAATGGCATCTCTGGGAGTTTTTCAGTCAAGCTTCTGGGGGCATGTAAAAGACCTTCCCCCTATAGCAAGGGCATTATACAGGAAACGCTTGCATAGATAGTTTTTGGTAAATATGAATTAACCCTCGAAACAAACTGAAGTTAGAAGTTGGTTACTATGCACAACTGCTTCAGATTCTAAAGTGTTACCAAACCCACAACAGTAAAATCAGTCTGCATGTGCAGTAAAGCATGCTGGTTATACTCACTGTGGAACCTAAGGGGTCAATCCTCTACATTGTGTAAAAAGGCTGTTTGATCCTGATTTTTCTGCTCCTCCTCTTGTTCAAATGTTCACGTCTTATCTCCTGATAAGACAGACTGAACCATAGCCATTCTGCACATACTCAGTTTAGTGTGTATTGCTAGAGAGGGTTTTTTTTTTCCTTTGGAGAGTGGATAGGATCAGCACAGGGTCAATCAGCACTGTCCAGACAGAGGTCAGGGGTTCTGTATCCTCCTATAGCAGAAAGAAAACTCCTGCAAACTTTAACCAGTGCTCTGCTGAACACTGATAGAAGTCACAAGACTGCTCTAACTGCTGATGAGACAAGGTATTTAGCAATTTATATTTACTAAAATAATTGCACTTCCATGTTGTGTGTACTGTGGGAGACCAGATATAGTGAATGCAGGGTCCTGGGTTTAGTATCACTAAGTAAATTTCACCCTATATTATCAATTTAAACAGTTTTCATTTTGTGTTTTTAATAGTATATTATTTATATCTGATGCTTGGCACTGTAGGGTTTTTCTCCCTTGTTGATTTTATAGGCTGCGTCCGATGTGTTTTTTTTACAGGTAAATGTTTCTTTTTCAGACAATTGGGCTTTTCTATACGCTCAGCGCTTGGCTGTGAAGCAGAAGCTACCATTACATGTAGCTTTCTGCTTGGTTCCAAAGTTTTTAGAAGCCACAATACGTCATTATGGTTTTATGCTGAAGGGTCTTAAAGAAGTTGCTGAGGTACATTTATAAAACTCTACATGCTACTGTATTGGTACCATGGCTTTACCAGTAATCTGACCATTTCTCCATTCTAGGATTGTAAAGCGTTAAACATTCCTTTCCATTTGCTCATTGGTTATGCTAAGGATGTTCTTCCAGACTTTGTGAAGGAGCACAGCATTGGTGGAGTAGTAACGGACTTTGCTCCTCTTCGTGTCCCCATGCAGTGGGTGAAGGATGTCTCTGAACGCTTACCTAAAGATGTACCGCTAGTTCAGGTATAAAGTTTATAGTTCTACCTCAAGGGTTGTATAGCTTGACCCCAGTGTATCAAACAGGTGAATGCTAAGTCAGGAGGTTACTTGTATTCCTGAAACCCCTGAGCACTTGATGGAAAGTTCTTGCAAAGAAATAAAAAAAAGATTTAATCAAATGGCTTTAAGGCACCGTTTAGAAAAAAAACTGCTTGCTTGGCACTACTTTAAAGTGAATGCTTACATTCTAAAGCAGGGGTTTTCAAGCAGGGATCTATCATTCGATCTCTGCCATGTATTGAGAAGATTATGACCCCATCATGCTGCTGGCTCCACCGCCTCTCAGATCAGAGTAGCAATGCAAACACAAAGCTGAGGGAAGTCCTAGTTGCCTCCTTGGTTCTGACATGTCATATGATACAGTCAAGGGGAAACTTAGGAGGTCTTCCCTCATGCTGTTGGTTGCCTCTGCATTTGAGATTTGTGAGCACATTCCAGGAAGGGAGGCAGGAGAAATTTGTATTAGGAGCTTTTTTAGCTTGGGGAGAGACATTTATACTGGAGAGGGGTTATTTTTTGCTTGTGGAAGATGTGTGATAATTTACACCTGACCTCTGCACAGTGTGTTATGTACTACTGATCTCTGAACTGTGCATTACATGCTACTAATCTTTGCTTTCCATACTTCTAAACTTTGTGTTTATTACTCTTGACCTGTGAAATCTGCATTAGTTACTACTGACCCCTACACTCTGCACTACTTACTCTTGATTTGCCTCCTTCTTTCTGTGTTACTTACTCCTGACCCATTACACTGTGTATTACATACTAATGACCTTACCAGTGACATCAGGAAACGTGTAGAACTTTCTTACAAATCTGTTATCTGACCATGCATGGTAAAGCAGTAGTCTCACTTAAAGTATAATTTTAGTGGTAAATCAAAAAACTCAAAAATTTGAGAGCAGAAAGGATTTTACTGCCAAAGAGACCTTGTATGTCTCCTCTGCAATGAAAACTTCTTGTGTACCTGCTAGAAAGTCTCTAAAGATTTTACACAGAGACATGCATCTCAGTATGTTTTGGTGTCTGGAACTTCTGGGCACGTGCGGGGCTAGCTAGTCAACACTGAAAATGTTTGTTCTTGGTCTGTGCAATGCATATTCATCAGCTTAACATTCTGAAATTCATTTATAGTGCATTCTACGTTGCACGGTGGTGGTGGTGGAGGCAGCAATGCAACACCATCATTCAAAGAATGAAAATGTCCCTTTTCCTCTTCTCAAATGCTCATCCTCAATGTTTTAGTTGGTTATGCACCTTCCCTGGTATGCATGCTGCCATAGGCCATGGCTTGAGTGGGCAATAGCAAATCTGGTCCTGATTACAGTGTAGCCAGCTGAACCCTATAACTAAATGTATGTTTCAGCACAGACCAATCTTTTAATTTTTTTTTATTTACAGGTAGATGCCCATAATATTGTGCCCTGCTGGATTGCCTCTATCAAACAAGAGTATGGAGCTCGAACCATACGCAAAAAAATACATGATCAACTTTCTCAGTTTCTCACTGAATTCCCTCCCGTTATCAAGCATCCGTATAATTCCATGTTTAAGGCAAAGGTTAATGCTTGTTTCCTTCATTTGTTTTCACTAACTGTGCAATAGTACTTTGTCCACTCTAACAGAAAGGTATACTGATGTGCAATGTTTTTTTACTGGTCAGCCTGTGGATTGGAAGGAGTGCTATGCCAGTTTGGAAGTGGATCGCACAGTCAAGGAAGTAGAATGGGCAAAACCTGGGTCAAAGGCAGGAGTGGACATGCTCCAATCATTTATAACACAACGCCTAAAGTCTTTTAACTCTGATCGAAACAACCCAAATCAGCAGGCTCTTAGTAATCTTTCACCTTGGTTCCACTTTGGTAAGTCATTGGAGAGGTGAAAAGTTAAATTCATCAGCAGCTCTGACTTTGCTCTGCTTTAAAGTGGTATTAAACTAAAAAATTGAATATATTGAAGCTTAACAGTCCTTAAGTGTGGTGACTGCATTTGTTTTATTTTTTTCCTTCTGTTTTCACCTGGTGATCTGGCCAGTAACACACTTCCTGTACTAGGGTGGCTCCACTCTATGGAGGAGAAACAGAGACATCTCTGGACAGCAGCATTGGAAATCCAGGGAGAGGGTAGAGTTAGATGCACTAACAGATTTAGATGGACTTGACTAACAAATTAAAGCCTGACATGTATTAGGCCCCTTTCACACGGGCATTCCGTATGTCCGTTTTTTGATCTGTCCGTTTATGGGTGAAAAACGGACACCAGTGTATTTCTATGGACTAGCGCAGCGTTTTTTTCAACCACTGTGCCGCGGCACACTAGTGTGCCGTGAGATATTGTCTGGTGTGCCGTGGGAAAAATTGCAATTTCATCCGTAACATGTGGCCTCGGCTCACAAATAGACCAATCATTAGATTCAATGGGCAAACTACGGCCCGCGGGCCGTATACGGCCAGGCGGACCTTTTAATCCGGCCCGCGGAGCGTGATACTGTCAGGATGCTCTGTCCCCCTCGACGTATCTGCACATGTGCCGGAGATCGCCGATCGGCTGCTAATGCCTGAAACTGGGCAGATACGTCGAGGGGGACAGATCCTCATAGGAGACAGATTTTCATGCTACACCGGAACGGCGAGAGGAACGCGCGGAGCAAAGGTAAGTGAATTGACACAGGGGGGGCTTGGGGACTTAATATGGGGGATGAATTACTATGGGGGATGAATTACTATATGGGGGATGAATTACTATGGAGGATGAATTACTATGGGGGGTGAATTACTATGGGGGATGAATTACTATATGGGGGATTAATTACTATGGGGGATGAATTACTATATGGGGGATTAATTACTATGGGGGATGAATTACTATATGGGGGATGAATTACTATATGGGGGATGAATTACTATATGGGGGATGAATTACTATGGGGGATGAATTACTATGGGGGATGAATTTACTATATGGGGGATGAATTACTATATGGGGGATGAATTACTATGGGGGATGAATTACTATGGGGGATGAATTACTATATGGGGGATGAATTACTATGGGGGAATATTACTATACTTACTATGGATGACACATACACATCATTCATCTACTCTTGGTCCGGCCCCCGGGTCCAATTATAAAATACTTTATTATTTCATAATAAAATAATTTCTTTGTGTTTGATTCCTATTCAAGAGAATTACTTTATATATAGTCAATATAGGCACAGAGGTAAATTTTTTTAACATTTTCTAATGGTGGTGTGCCTCGTGATTTTTTTCATGAAAAAAGTGTGCCTTTGCACAAAAAAGGTTGAAAAACACTGGACTAGCGGATGTACACAGATGATCATTTGTTTACATCCGTTTAATATCCACATCCGTTTTTTTGAACGGAAGAAAACCCTATTTTTCTTCCGTTTTTAAAAAAAAAAATGAAACATGTGAGAAACGGACCGAAAGCCGGACAGAAAACTGATGCAAACAGACGTAAACTGATCTGTTTTTTTTCTTGCCCGTGTGAAAGGGGTCTTAACCACATGCCGCCCAGCCACCGCATATAAACGGTGGCAGGGCGGCGCTCGTAGGCAAAAGCACGTTTTAAAACGGCTGCCTTCAAAACAGGTAGGGGGCGCGCGCGCGCCCGCCCTGCCTGTCCCGCTGGTGTCAGCAGCGGGTCTCCGCCGCCGGGTCAAAAACCGGCCGTTTTCCGCGATGAGCGGTAATCACTGACACAGAGCAGGGCTGCATTGTTTACACACAGCCTGCTCTGTGACAGTTCGCCGACAAGCTGCAGAGGGAGAGAAGAGTTTCTCTCCCTCTATCAGCTCCCCCCTCCCTCCCCCCGTCCAGTACACACCCCTGCCCCCTAGTAAAACACTCCCCTCACACAGTAAACACTAAATATGTTAACCCCTTCCTCCCCAGTGACATTAGTACAGTTTCAGTGGTTTTTTTTCACTGATCACTGTATTGGTGTCACTGGGGATGTCAGTGACCCCAAGTCAGTCCCCCCCCCCCCCCAGTGTCAAAATGTCCGCCGCAGTCCCGCCATAAGTCGCTGGTCACCGCCATATGTCGCTGATTGCCGCTATATGTCGCTGATCAGCGCCATTATTAGTATAAATAAAAATTAAAAATCCCAGTATATTTCCCGCCATTTGTAAACGTTATAACTTTCACGTAAACCAATTAATTTACACGTATTGGGTTTTTTTTTAGCAAAGACATGTCGCAGAATGCATTTTGGCAGAAATTTATGACTAAATTTGATTTTTGCATTTTTTCTTTACTGGACATGTTTTATAGCAAAAAGTCCAAAATATTGTTTTTTTTTCCTCAAAATTGTCAGCCTTTTTTTTATAGCGCAAAGAATAAAAACCGCACAGGCAATCAAATACCACCAAAAGAAATCTCAATTTGTGGGGAAAAAAAGGATGTAAATTTCATTTATGTACCGTACTGCATGACCGCGCAATTGTCTGTTAAACTAGCGCAGCGCTGTATAGCAGAAAAATGGCGTAAATTGCAGTATTTATACCATAGATTGTAGACGCTATAACTTCCACACAAAGCAATCAATATACACTTATTGGGATTTTTTTTACCAAAAACATGGAGCAGAATACATTTTGGCCAAAATTTATAACCAACTTTGAGTTTACTATATTTTTTTTGTAGCAGAAAGTAAAAAATATTGTTTTTTCTTCAAAATTTTTGGCCTTTTTTTGTTTATAGCGTGAAAAATAAAAAGCGCACAGGTGATCAAATTACACCGAAAGAAAGCTCTATTTGTGTGAAAAAAGGGCGTAAATTTTGTTTGGGTGCAGCATTGCATGACCGCGCAATTATCAGTTGAATTAGTGCAGCGCCGAGTAGCAAAAAGAGGCCTGGTCATTAAGGGGGGTAAATCCTCAGGAGCTCAAGTGGTTAAGCAGTTACAACAACGTTTTTTTTTTTTTTTTTTTTTTTTTTTTTTGGAAGGAGGCGAGATAATGGTTTTGCATAAATGAATGAAAGATGACCATTGTAAGCACCCCTGTCAGTGTTAAATGATTTGTCTAAACGCTGAGCACTACTTTTGCTGGACAGCTTAGTCTGCTAAAGTTGAAAAATAACAGATCAACCGATGAAAATTAAGGAAACAGACACTGAAAGGTGTTTTTTGTTTTTTTACCTTAATGCATTAAGGTAAAAAACAAACTGATATCAGAACTACTTTAAAGCTGCTGTCTTTTCATCCATCTATATAAAAAGCAACAGGGTAATGAATAGGACGGGATTGGCAGAATAGCTACTGCAGCACTGCTTGTCCTTCACCTTGGTAAGTCCAAGTAGTGACAGAGAAACACTGACTATTGACGAGGATTCAACAAGAAGCTTTATATTTCCAGTGTTTCCTAATGTTAATTTTAGGTGTGTGTGTGTTTTTTGTTTTTTCCAAACTAATCCAATTAGTAGAAGTATTGGTGAGGATGTGGTACTTGCTGATGTTCTGCTAGTAATGGACGTTGTTAGGCTCACATTAGGCAAAAATACTTGCTTTTCAGGCGCATGAAAAAATATGTTTGAAAGTAACATGTTTCCTGTTGTGTCTCAGGTCAGCTGTCTGTGCAGAGAGCAATTCTGGAGGTACAGAAGTATCGCAGCAAGTACAAAGAATCTGTGGACAGTTTTGTGGAGGAAGCCATAATCAGGAGAGAGCTGGCAGATAACTTCTGTTATTACAACAAGAGCTATGACACAGTGGAAGGTAAAATGTGATAAACACATTGGTTTTCTAAAGCTTTTTTGCTATTGCTGAAATGTTAGCTTCTCCAAAAGCATATAGTGGGACACGTAAGAAGCTAGAATAAACCACCACCACCTGAGGGCATTGATTAAGGCAACATGAAAAGGATTTCACAATTAAATCACTGTCTACCTTTTACCTCAGTTTTTTTGTGCTCTGAGAAGGTATGCTATTCTCGGGTGTGGAAATTTTTTTAAAAAACTACTTGTCCAGGGATTAAATCAATGTCCCAATCTATTTGTCCCTCATGACAATCTATGTAAAAAGGAGGGAGGAGCCTACATGCTGATGTCACACCGCCGCGTCTATATGATGGTCTGGCGGCCATCTTTGTAAGTGGATTACATTTGTTTTATGCTCCACGTGGATTCTTCTTTATATTTTAATAACATTTACTGCACCATAAGCGGTTTCCTTTTGGCTCTTTTATTGAGCTTTTTCCTTCAAGGTTGGGACATTTTGCTTTCGAGAATAGAGCCACTTTTTGGGGGAACCAACTGTCTTTGATGAATTGAAGCTGTGCATATCTTTTACCTGTATCTGGCGGTGAATAAGGTTGACCTGCTGGAGGATTTTCTTTCCAATTTTGAACGCGCATTTATTACTTGTTTCTGGTGAGTGCATTAGGAGGAAGAAATTGTCATGGATTCACTCATCACCTGATGTCATATTTCTTTATAATTTTTGGACACTATACATAAGAGATTGATTGTTTATATTATTTTGCTAATTATGCACTAATTATTTGCTCATGCAAGTCACCCATTGTTTTATCATTTTTCACGTCACCCATGTTATTCACTATAGCGCTGCACTCTTTTATTATACCCTCATGACAATCTACTTGTCCTGATAATTTTTTTTTTTTTTTTTAACTAAAACCATATTTAAATCCAAGGTGATTTTAAGATTGTCTGGGGCTTTTAACAACAAAAGGAGCTTTATGGCGACTGAAATGTGTAATAATTTTAACATTGCACTGTTTATCTTCTCCTCTCCTCCCTGCCTGTCTCCAGCACTGCACTCTCGGGAACTAGCAGGAAAGGGAGAGACCTTGCAGTGTAATGAGTGACACTTTTAAAGCCCCTTATCCATATAGGTCATCAGTATAGTGTTACGCTTCTCTGTATGGCAATCCCATTGACGTGTCTGGGGTTTGGCAGTTGCCAGGAGAATGATACTTGCCTGACTGCATTGCCAAGTGTAAAGTTTAGTGGAGGGGGGATTATGTTATGGGGTTGTTTTTCAGGGGTTGGGCTTAGCCCCTTAGTTCAAGTGAATATCTTGGTATGCTAACACTCTTAAGGTGTAGGCATACCAAGACATTTTGGACACTAGTGCACAAAGCAAGGCCCATAAAGATATGGGTAAGCGAGTTTTGGGTGGAGGAACGTGACTGGTCTGCACAGAGTCCTGACCTCAACCTGATAGAACACCTTTGGGATGAATTAGAGCGGAGACTGTGAGCCAGGCCTTCTCGTTTGACATCAGTGCCCGACCACACAAATGTGCATCTGGAAGAATGGTCAAACATTCCCATAGACACACTTCTAAACCTTGTGGACAGCCTTCCCAGAAGAGTTGAAGCTGTTATAGCTGCAAGGGGTGGGCCAACTCATTATTGAACCCTATGGACTAAGACTGGGATGCCATGAAAGTTCATATATTGTGTATATTTCATATGTTTTTACAATCTTCAGTCATATACTTATGTAAATTAACCCATGCAAGGAATGTTCTTTAACCTGCTACTTACTATTTTGATAACCTACTTCAAGTGGAACTTTAGTCATAAAATTAAGTCTTGCTAGATCACTTTAGGCGGGCCCCTTTTTCAGGTATTGCTATGTCAGACATTAAAAATAAGTATCTATACTGTTTAAAATCCCGTAATACACCATTTCACCCTGCTCTGCACATGCTCAGTTGCCCTCCATTTTTAGCCACTGTGCCAAATTTGTAGAGGCCGATCTGTTGAGAGTTTAGAGATTAAGGGCTCGTTTAAACATACGTGCGTGAAAACTGATGGAAACAGACAATGCAGATTTCACTTGCAGAGACATCGGTTTACATCCGTTTTATGCACATTCGAATGAGTTTTATACACGTTGCAGATTCCTGTGCAGAAAAAAATCTGCACGTGATATTAGTGTTGTGAACAGGGCACATAGAAAACAATTGATTTTGTTGTGCCCTTGCAGAATGCATGCAGAAAAACTGACGTCTCTGCTCCATGGTGTGAATGAGCCCTAAAGCGGAACTGAACCTATCAATTTAATAGTTTTCAAAGACCGTACCATGCCCAGCACATGCAAGGAATACTAACTGTTGCCTTTGCTTGTGTTCTCAACCAAACTGTCAAACCATCAAATGACTGGTGTACAGTAATTGATCAAAAGGGCAGCACCATGGCAGTTGCAGATCAAACAGGTGGCAGCTTCCTTGGCTAAAAAGGATAGGAAAGTTTAGTTATGTTTTAACTGCTGCTCAGGGATCTGGGCTTCAACAAAATGACAGCCTCCAGTAAGAAGAAACATAAACAATGCTGGAGGCAATTTAGAGCACACACTAAATTTTGTAGCATAATTATTCATGTGCAATGTATGTTCCTTACTAAAGAACATTATTTATCAATTATTATGAGTAAAGATGCACTGCATAAGGATGTTTACTAATCTGTATATTAACATGCCAAATTCATCATTGCTAAGGTGCTTACGACTGGGCAAAGAACACGCTAAAAGTTCATGAAAAAGACAAAAGAACTCATATATACAGCCTGGAAAAACTGGAAAGTGGGAAGACTCATGATCCATTGTGGAATGCAGCACAGGTATTGAATTGTAGGATAAGTTCAAAAGAACCCTATATGGGTTGTAGAATGTTGGTATAAGAGATCTAAGCTAACAGTACAGCCTGTCCCTTAGGTGCATAAAATCCCTTGCCTCTTTAGGCTCTGCACTGCCGTGCCTTACTCCATGGCACAATATTTTGAACGGCATTGACCTCCAGCTGAAATTCTGAAAAATTAGCTTTCTTTTTTTTTTCTGTGGTTACAGAATGGGGTTATTAGGCCATTGCCTAACCCCAAACTTGGAGGACCACCATACCCCTATTTGTCTGGGTCATTTATGGAGACCCCACCAGCAGAGATAACCCCACTGATAGATATACTACTGCTGATACAGCTTTCAGCATCGGTGTGCTGCCAACTCTATTTTGTGAATAATATGTATATTGTGTATAGAGAGCTGTAGGTGCATGCAAAGTTGGACCACCTGATTTTTGTATAAACAGGATTTTGTACTTGCTGTAAATTCCATTTCTTGAAGTTTATTAAGGGACACAGGATTCGGTTAATCTGAGACATTTGGGTTATATTGCTGCCAGTAGGATGATTTGGACAGGTAAAACCCCTCCTGCTCCAGCATGCTTCAATTTTGTAGAAAAGCAGTATTTAGCAGTTTTCGAGTGCTCTCTGCCCTCTACAGCTGGCTGCTGACTGACACAGGAGATCACGTGACCAGACCGGAGCAGCATGAGAATAGGTAAGTATGCACATTTTTCATACACAGGTTAAGGTGATTCTAAAGGTGTTTTTTTTTTTTTTTTTTTTTTTTTTTTTTTTTTTTTTTTACTTACCTGCTGTGTGCAGTGGTTTTGCACAGAGCAGCCCGGAGCCTCTCGGGTCCCCCGTCTCGGGTCCCCCGCAGGCTTTCCTGTCGGGTGCCTCCACAGCAAGCATCTTGCTATGGGGGCACCCATTGCTCCCTGTGTCCATACACACATGGAGCCGTGGCTCGGTACCGCTCCCTCTCTCTTCTCATTGGCTCACTGGCTGTGATTGACAGCAGTGATAGCCAATGGCTTCCGCTTCTATCTCAGCCAATGAGAAGAGGGAGTCCTGGCATAGCCGAGACTCCATTGCACATCGCTGAAATGAGTCGGGGGGGGTGATCATTAGGGGGGGCTAGGGGGAATGCTGCACAGAGAAAGTTTTTTACCTTCAGGCATAGATACTTCTGGCTAGTAAGGGTGAATTGACACCAAAGCGCAGAGCAACTGGAGTGATTCGCTGTTCTAGCTGTTCTACATTTCCAGCTGCACTAGGGGGCAGTATTATGTGCATTTCAGTGCATCACACGGCTCCCCCACTTTTTTTTTTTTTTCTTCTTTTGAATAAACTTTATGTGAAGTGTACAAAATGTACACTTCATTCACTGTAATGTTGGGCAGCATGATGTGCTTCGCTGCCTGATATTGCAGTGCACTTTACCGCAGCATGGTGCAGCTCTAGGCTGTGTTGCAGTGTGAATGAAACACATAGGAAACAATTGTTTTCTATGTGTCCCTGCAGTGAGAGACGTTTTACAATGCAGTAAAATGTCTGTCACCGCATATAGTGTGAATTGGCCTTAAATCTCCTGATCCAGCAATTAGCTTCCCTACATAGATTCACACAGGAAAGGCCTATTTTGAATTAATTGAAGGTTCTCATTTCAAATGAAGCCCTGGTGAAGATGAAGTTTTCTCTGACCCCCAGAACATGTCAGCTGTTTTTTTTTTTTTTTTTGTGGAGACCAATAAATGCATTTGATTTAGACTATTTTTTGTTTGGCATGTCACTCCTTCCTTTCCGATAGATGAGGCTGGATTTTCAGAGGAGGTTCAAGGCTTTTGGTGATCCTGGGCCCCTTAGGCCTGGCTTTGGAGTAAGAGACCTGGGAGAAACAAATCGAAATCCTTTTCGCTTCAAAGACAGAATATTTTTGAGGCTTGGGTTTGGGATACATGAGTATTCTTGCTACCACTGATGTTTTTATGAAATTATCAAGCAAACCTAAAATAGATGTTCACCATCAAAAGGCATTCACAACCAATGTGTTTTACATTGCTGTTCTGCAGACTGAAATTTTGACCACAAAAATCTCTTTATTTTTAAAGACAAGAGATTTGTATGGGAGAGAAGACTAATAATATCAGCTAGACTGTTAATACCGTAATGTAGGGCTAAAAGCTCTAAGTGGTCTAAAATCAAAGGGTCCATAAGGACTGTAGTTGGATCATTCACAATTGTTGGAGTATAGTTCCCTGTGGTCTGACAGACCAACATTACAGCTATAGCAGCTTACATGGCAGGATCTGCTAGTGAAAATATGGATTTGGAAAGGGCTTCTATTTGTTTATTAGTGAGATCTTTAAACACTGGAACATCCTACATAAGTACAGTTAGTCTTTTGTTAAGGTGGATATTTCCAGATCTACAGTGGAGGCAGCCTACTTTTTTAGGAAACCCTTATCAAATGGATATAATCTGCAAATCATTTTAGAGGAGTAAATAGTCAGGAACAGAGCTATACACTATGGATATTTGATACTGTCACATCTGCAGTAGAAGGCTCGCTTTAGAAATGTCAGAGAATCTGTAGAAGACCTGGAACTACACTTACAACTCCTGCGTCCAGAGTCAGCAGCCATATTTGGAAGTTGCCCCATAATATATAGCACAACTGCAGAGAAGCGAAAGAGGGGGTAACACATGACGGAGCTATAGGAAACTCAGGAGTGAGTTGACTGAAGCAGAGAAAAATATACAGACTATCGGTGTCAGATTCTTTAGAGGGGACACTGCAGACCTACCTGGTCAATGGAGGTGGCAACAAGGAATTATCACAGTGTGAACATCACGTCAAATAGAAACGCTGAATAGAATAAGCTGTACTGCTGGTGATGCTATCCAAGGCTGGTGCTCATGGCTGGGATGTGCAGTCCCTCAATACTTTAAATGTAGCCAGCAACTTGATGGACTCAAACGTTGAAAATCTTTATTAGCTACTGTAGTAGAGGGCAGAAATAGTTTGTTGAGGTTAACAGTGTAAAGCAGTCAGCTTGTCTGCTTAATTGATTTATGAGTTCCTGTGCCCTACAGGGAATAGGAGATGAGGTTGATCTCCACAGGAAGCACAGACAGCATGGTGTCCTGTACCTGGATAAAGTCGAACGCCCGGCATCGGACATTGGATGCTTAAGTCTTGGCTGCATTCAAAGTACAATATAATATCCTTATGCTGGCAGAAAGTGGCAGTCTGTTCAGAGCTTACTTCAGTGATGGACATAGGAGCTCATGGCTGCAAGTCTTAGGAAATTAGAAAATGCATGGAACTGCTGAAACAGACTTTGCTTTCTGCACTGCTGGTTGGCTTTCTGGACACTGGGACTTTACTCTGGGATTCCTGACCTGTGTGTTGGACTTATCCCTTGCTACACTATACTCTGGTCTGTCCATATCCCTGCCCTGTGGGTTGTCTACATTCCCCTTGCCTTACCATCCAGTGGCCCTGTGTACTGGTTCCCTGTTTTGCTGGGCCATTTAACATGGACTAACTGTGTGCTATTACATTGCTACCCAGTGGACTATTTTGTTGTACTGTGTCTTGTTACTCCTACTGTGCCTTCATGTTCTCCAATAAACGCCGTATGTTGTGTTTCGTATAATCTGCCTCCGTCTGCTTTCTCTGTACTCCTAGTTCATCACTGCTACACAAGTACATCCAGTAAGAAAACAGTAACGTGTTTCAGCGACTGTGGCGTTACACATAGCATGTCACGCAGATAGGAGCAGAGGTGGAAAGAAGCTACCTCAAGCTGAAAGTAAATGGCAAGAGAGCACTGACAGAATAGGGGAGTAAATGTGGCATTTAATGCTACCAACAAGGCAGTAGCTTCCTCAGCCAATATGGTGTACTCATTTAGAATCCTCACAGACCTGGTTACACCAGAGGCTGTGCCATAGCTTTGCACCTTGAAAGTGCACTGTGGCTAACCTAAAACAGTACCCAAAGATCTGGAAAGTGCCATTGGTAGAGCTCAGTGCCCAAAGGACATATTCCAGGCTGGCCCCACAATTTTGGTTCAGTGGGGTCTTGGTATTGTCTCCAAGACAGTTCTGAGGATTAGCTTATCTAGATGGCTGCATAAAGAACGCTGCTGAGAAGATGTTAGCTGCTATCTTGATTGAAGAAAAAAAATCTTGATAAAATAAAGAAACCGAGATAGCTAGTAAAAAAATGAGGTATATTTTCTCAATAGAGAAAAGACGATCAACCTCCTAAGAGGAAAATGAAAGCATGCTGGGAGTGAGATATGTTATCCCTGGCTGGCCAGAGGCATTTTTGTATGTTGGTGTCCAAATACTCCTGAAGGCAGTAGTGTAACCCAATTGTTTCAGATAAACCAAATCCTGTGTCTCTAATGAACAATGAAGAAATTATTAGTTTGCATAGAATTGGGGGAAATTAACAAGTTTTCCTGAAGACCGTACTACTTTGACCAGTTTGTGCATAACTTCTGTTTTACACATGTATTCTTAATTGAGTGTGCAGTACAGACACTGCACTGGCACCAATACCACGTTAACCAGTACAAGATGAATTATTGCTTTAGCAGTGTGTGTGGTTTGTTTAAGTAATGTATGTATGAGCCCTAAATGGGAATCCATATGCTGACCTTTTTATAGATCAATATATGCAGAAGCTTTTCAGAGCATTCAGTGCTTTAAAAGTAAACATTTACACAAACTGTGGTATTTGTATGCATTAAGGTTATTTAATCTTGTGCAGAATAGTTGTTCATGTATTTAACACTGATCAGAGTGCTTGGGATTTTTCAGGTGGGCAACAGTTGCTTGTTAGCAGCTAACTGTTGTGTTTCAGTGTCTCATGAATTAAAATGTTGTATGTTGAATGATGTGCGGCTTTTTTTTGTTTTTTAAACAGTTGCAGATGGTTCACGAAGGAAAGATGCACGGCTTCCTTCGTATGTATTGGGCTAAGAAAATCCTTGAGTGGACTAATTCTCCAGGGGAGGCTCTTAAATTTGCCATTTATCTTAATGATCGGTATGAACTGGATGGGCGGGACCCTAATGGATATGTAGGTGAGAATGTAGAGTTTATTCTTTAAAGTTTACAGTCTTATATATATTTATATATGTATATATTCTGGTTGGTACGTCTGAATTTTACGTGCTGTCTATGCACCATTAAGGGGATTTCCCCATACTTCCTGTCCTCTGACACCCATTTCCTGTACAGGAAGCAAGAGGAAAGCTCTTTAATAAGGTGCAATGACAGGGATTATAAATCTCCCCCCAATCCCTGTTTGAATTTTGTATTGCTGTCTTTGTCCCTGGTAGGAAGATTTCTCTTTTCATGTTATGACATACAGTAAATTTAAAAAGATGAAGAAAAAATAAGGGAACCACACCAAAAGGGGCAAAGACAGCAGGAAAAAACAATAAAACTAAAGGCTGGATTTCAGCTGAATAAGATGTACTTTAACTGTAATATTCTTTTCTCGGAGTCCATTGAGGAACATAGGATGTCTTTCACCTTCGGTTTATACTGCCACCAGATACACACAGATGGGTGGAACTTCAATGGACTACAAAATAGGATTTTAGAGTGAGCACAAAAATCCTATTTTTTTTCTCGTCCACAGTTCTGGCTGAGTTAAAACGCAGAAACTACCTTTTTAAGCAAGAAGAAATTCCTAGATCTCAAATCCACCTTCTCCCTATGCAAAACCAAAAAGGGTTCCTTGAAAGGTAAAGCCACCAGTTCAGATACTCAGAGGTGATGGCTACATTGCAAATCACCTTGTGGGTGAGTGTTTAGAGAAATTTCTCAAAGGGTAGTTTCTGAGAGAACCAGATTTAGATCCCACAAAGTCACCGCAGAACAAGCAGGTGGGAGTGAGAGGCCAATGGCCCCAAACAGGATAGAAAGGGCAGACAGCTGACCTTCAATATTGCTGTTAGTCAAATGCTGGTCCAGACCCAGATGCGGAGAGCAAAACTTTCTCCCCATGGAGAAACATGATATAGATAGACCTTGTGGGAAGTAGCCTAGAATTCTAGGAATCACCAACTCAGAGATACCTCTGTCCCTCGGTACTTCGGCGTCAACAGCCCTGCCTGTAGAACCAGGGACCATGAAACTGAATGGTAAATTGCTCCATGGGCCAGAAGATCTGGATGATTTGTCTCACTATTTGTTCTGTGCTTTCTGAAGGTATCAGCGCCTACAACCTGGAATTTTGTTGTCTTCTGCTCATAATGTCTAGTAAGTCTAGGAGTCTTTCCTAGCCTAGGCGAATCTTGTCTGCCAGGGTCTCTACTAAAGTCACACGGAACTTTGCAGCCCAATTCACCCATTTCATAGATGGCTTCGACCAAAGAGGCTTATGGACTGCATTCAAAGAGCATCTAGCCAGCTTGCTCTTTGAAGGATAACGTCTTTGGATCAGCTCTCTCACTTTCCATTTCTATACTCCTGTAGCATACATGGCTAGGCCTCCAAAACTTGGCTCTCTGGGCACCTGCTAAACCCTCATAAAAACCTTCATCAGCCCCCATTTTCTAAAGTAGAGGGGTGTTTATTAATCTTTGCAGACACCCGAATAGCTTTCCCTTTAGGTGTTGAGTGTGATATTCCAAGGATACAAACTGAACCTTCGTTACCCACTTTCTCTTTGGCCCCTAACCTTCTTGTGTCACCGGACAAAATAGCACACCTACCTGTATTATTTTGGAGTCACCATGACCCCAGTCAGTCAGGATGCGTACCTACAGGTCCAAGTGCTTCCAACTCTCTAATTTTTCAGTCTTTACCCTGCACTCCCAGTTGTTCACCAAGGTGCTGGCTCCAGTGTTGGTCATAGTGTGTTGTCATGGCAGCCTCCAGTGAAGGACACAGTCGGCGTGGGCTTTTTTGGACACTCAGACTAGTTTTCTTCCCTAGAAGATTCTTCAGGCTGTCTAGTTTCACATCCTTGTCCATCGGGCCAGGAGTTGTCCACCTCTGTTGTATGAAAGTCAGGGGTCTGTGGGTACAGCTCTTTGAGGTAGTCCCTCTACTCCAATCTTAACCCAGCCTGTCTCAGCTCTACACTCTGGTCTGGTGGGAAAACTTGGTTTATTAACAGCCCAAATTATCTATCCCTGAGTATTAGGTAGTTCCTGGGCTGATGGATTAGTCCTGAAGTTTGATAGTCTGCAGAATCTATCTTTCCCACCTACTGAAAAACCTTATCTCTGGACATCATCATATCAGGCTGGAGAGGAGGCATGGGCAACCTGCCAGGTTGGGAGGGGGTCCATTATCGTCCGTATTCTCTTCTATCAGTCTGCATCCTGGGGATTTAGGCAATATGATTGTTTTTCATCCCTGGATCATTTCCTTGACAGATCATCTGATCTTGATTCAGTAGAATATCACAGAGGTGCTGTGCCTCAACAGTTAGGGGGAAACAGAAGACATGTGGAGGGCAGACATAAACCTCTTGATATCATGGATCAGCACTGTACTCAACAGGTTCATTTTTCAGATGCAGAAATCTTCTAGTGGTAGCCATGGATGCTGTGGTCACTTTGTGGGATCTTCTTGCCCGAAACTAGGCTTTTCCACCTTCTCCATTTCTTCTACTTCTGCTTCACAGACTCCAAATGAAGGGGTTTTGGGCAATATTCATTGCTCTGGATTGCCCCATATGAATGTTCTTCGCTGACCTGGTCAGTTTCCTGAATGTTGCTTTTGTGGACTCCTAACCATTCTTGGATTTAGGGTGTCAGGAGCATCTCTAAATCTGTGACGCTTTAGTGCTAGGATGGATTTCCAGCATGATGCTTTGTCCTAGAGGTGGCTTTTTCTACCGGCAAACGGGACTAGAGCTTCAAAAATGATCAATATTCCTCCTGCGCTATAAATGGTAAAAGGAGCTAAACCTAAAAAGCTGCCAGCACTCTCCTGCTGATACCTAATACAGTGTAAACATAAATTAATAAATAGTGTGGCGCTCTAAAAATGAATACATAAATATATGTATATAAACATAACCATTTGTACTACGTGACCAAATAAATATGTGACCAATTCATATAGTGAATTAATTGTAGTATATCCAAAAAAAAAAAATATATATATATATATTGATAAAAATAAATACCTCAAGTGATTTCAACAATAAACCTAGTATCCCCAGGTTATGTTGTTACATAACAAGCATACCATACAGTGATCATATATAATTAAATCCTGTATAAAGTGACCAACGTGCTAAAGTGCCAAAAAAATGTGCTAAAACATATATTTCAATTCTTGAATATTCTTAGAACACTCAGTCCTTCAAGTGATATCCAAATCATGCGATGTGTAGTGATAAAAATAGTGATTTGTGCCAAAAAACTCCTCTCCTACAGGTGGCTAGATTGCCTCCTCACCTCCTCCTGGTGACCACTAAGGGCCAGCAGGCTTGCAGGATCACCCTGGATCCTTATTCCACACCAGACCAGCAGCTCCTCTCCTTCTTTATTTATGTGAGACTCCCGTCTCTCTCCCTCCACCAGGATTCTGAAGGACAATGACTCACCAGTCCAGTGAGCCAGAAGAAAAAAATGCCCTCTAAGTGCAGTAATTAATGACTCCTTTATTTTCCAAAAAGTAAAGAGCGACAACACTCACATTTTCTGTCAGTCCACCCTCCTCACGGATGTGTGGGTGTACTCCATGTGCCTGGGACTTCCTAGGTGTAGTAAGATGGCGTCTCACGCCGGAAATACGTCACCGCGCACCGGAAACTGCTGACTCGCGAACCTTCGCGTTACGTCACTGACAACTCGTGACTTCCTCGGGGTATCTCGAGGAAGTCACGAGTTGTCAGTGACGTAACGCGTAGGTTCGCGAGTCAGCAGTTTCCGGTGCGCGGTGACGTATTTCCGGCGTGAGACGCCATCTTACTACACCTAGGAAGTCCCAGGCACATGGAGTACACCCACACATCCGTGAGGAGGGTGGATTGACAGAAAATGTGAGTGTTGTCGCTCTTTACTTTTTGGAAAATAAAGGAGTCATTAATTACTGCACTTAGAGGGCATTTTTTCTTCTGGCTCACTGGACTGGTGAGTCATTGTCCTTCAGAATCCTGGTGGAGGGAGAGAGACGGGAGTCTCACATAAATAAAGAAGGAGAGGAGCTGCTGGTCTGGTGTGGAATAAGGATCCAGGGTGATCCTGCAAGCCTGCTGGCCCTTAGTGGTCACCAGGAGGAGGTGAGGAGGCAATCTAGCCACCTGTAGGAGAGGAGTTTTTTGGCACAAATCACTATTTTTATCACTACACATCGCATGATTTGGATATCACTTGAAGGACTGAGTGTTCTAAGAATATTCAAGAATTGAAATATATGTTTTAGCACATTTTTTTGGCACTTTAGCACGTTGGTCACTTTATACAGGATTTAATTATATATGATCACTGTATGGTATGCTTGTTATGTAACAACATAACCTGGGGATACTAGGTTTATTGTTGAAATCACTTGAGGTATTTATTTTTATCAATATATATATATATATTTTTTTTTGGATATACTACAATTAATTCACTATATGAATTGGTCACATATTTATTTGGTCACGTAGTACAAATGGTTATGTTTATATACATATATTTATGTATTCATTTTTAGAGCGCCACACTATTTATTAATTTATGTTTACACTGTATTAGGGACTAGAGCTTCGTTTTCAACACTTTTAGGTCTCGGTTTTCCTTAGCTATATTTGGCTAAGTATACTAACATTTATTCCTTTTCTTAGTCCTCATGCACGCTATAGCTCAAAAAAGCTGCTTCTAGAGGTGTTTGGGGTTTTTTTTTTTTTTTTCATTGCCTGTAAACTCTCCTCTATGTTAGCCTATGTGTCCATGCACACTATAGTTGTTTTCAGTTTAGTGGCAGGGGAGTTTAACATTAAAAAAAAAGGCTTTTTGTTTTTTTTTTCTGCCTCTGAAATAAATGCTTAAAACAGCTCAAACGCCTGTAGGAGCATCTTCTTTAAGCTGCACTATACATGAGACCTTAAAATTGCTGCTAAACTCCTGTAGGAGTAAAAGACGTCTTTAAGCTTACAGTCTACATGAGGCCTTAACAATCCTTGTATGAGAAGATCCCATGTACCTTACCTTGGTTTTTCTCTTGTGAATCAATAGGAATCTAATCCGTTATCCATGCGTGTTAAGCTATACTGTTTTGTTTTTTTTTTTCTGGTAGTCATCACCTCTGTAAAGTGAGTTTCTAACCGGACAGCCTTTCCATGCATGGAATCTGTGGTGTAACGCCTAGGCCAGTTTTTGGTTCTCTTCCTCAACCAGGACATTGTTCTTCTCACCCTCTATCTGTCTTAAGCTCTTTTAGTGTAGTGTCTTCCTTGTTAAACTATGGTTTAATTAGCCACTGATTCCTTTTTTGGTTTGGGGCCTGTACAGTGATTCGGTATTTCGCTCCACCATTCTGGGTAGTTCAAGTAGACCAGCTGCAAGCTTATATTCTTTGAATAGTTGTTTTTCTCCTTTTCACTGGTAATACATCACTGGCTGTTCTCACATTTGTGCTACTAGGTGGTGGTGTAACTACCACTGATGCCAGCTTCTAGCATCATGTGGTTGTTCAGCTGGTTGGGTTTTTGTTTGTGTTTTTTGTTTGTTTTTTTTTTTTTTTGCTTTTGGACATCCTGAAGGTGAAAGACTTACTGGGGTTTATTTACTAAAGCTTGGTTTCTATGCAGAAGGGAGTCTGATTTTGGACTGTCCAGCTTTAGTAAATAAACCCCACTGTGTCATCTTCAATGGATAGAAAAATAAATAAGGGGAATACAAAAATCCCATTTGTAGTTTTTTATTGTTTTAAAATGACCTTTTCAGCTCAATGTTGCTAAAAGCGGTGGTTGAGTTTTATGATTTACCATATTTCACTATTAATTAAACTTTTCTTCATCAGGCTGTATGTGGTCGATTTGTGGAATCCATGATCAGGGCTGGGCAGAGAGGGCTGTTTTTGGCAAAATCCGATACATGAACTATCAAGGGTGCAAGAGGAAATTTGATGTGGCTCAATTTGAACGACGCTATCATCCCAAGAACTTTGCTTAATACCCTAAATGTAAAATATCACACGTTTTATAATCATACTCAGGACAATAGCAGGCAAAGATTATTTGCTTTAATGTTGGGGAGCACACTGCCTTCTTCTTTATACAATACTGTTCATGTTCCTTAGAAGCAGTATCTTTGAACAAGAGGTCCTGCTACAAAATGTAAAGTGCATTTCCTGTGTTACATGTTGGAATTTCCACAATGCCTTACCTGTTGGCATTAAAAAAAGTTTTTGTAATATTAAATATACAAGATTAGGAATGTACACAGTACATCTACTTTTTGGAGTGCACATATGAAATTTTTATAAATCTTTTTACATGTTGTCTGTTACAATGTACAGTATAATTAATAACCTGTTTGTACTTTTCTACTTGACAGTTCTGCTTGTTGCAAAGCATTAAATTTTATTTTTTTTTTTCTTTTCCATGGTTTGTATTAATGGGAACTATCTAAAAATCATATGTAGTCTTACTTGAATCTTGGCGTCCTTTATTCCAGATCTGTACAATCCAGTATGAAATAACTTCTGCCCTTGGTGTTTAAAAAAAAAAAAAAAAAAAGTCACTGCTTTTCTTCTTGTGCAGGGTGACTGGTCTTGTATCTGTCCCCTCCTGTGGTTTTCTGCAGACAGGCTGGGTCCCTCCCCCAGCTCTGCTCAAGCTATGTACAGCACAGTGATGATATCACCTCTTTTACTAGGAACTATCTGAATTTACAACAGCAGTTTGTGCACAAAGTGGATTTTATACTTTAAACATGAATGCCATATATATATTGTTCAAAAAGGTATAACCACTTGCCCTCCTAAGGATTTACCCCCCTTCCTGACCAGGCCATTTTTTTGCGTTATGGTGCTGTGTTACTTTAACTGACAACTACGCAGTCATGCAACACTGCACCCAAATTAAATGTACATCCTTTTTTTTTTTTTCCCCACAAATTGAACTTTTTTTTGGTTGTTTTTGATCGCCTGTGCATTTTTTATTTTTTTCGCTATAAAAAAACAGACCGACAATTTGGAGAAAAAAAAACAATATTTTTGACGTTTTGCTATTAAACATGTCCAGTAAAAAATCTAATTTCGTCATAAATTTATGCCAAAATGTATTCTGCGACATGTTTTTGCTACAAAAAAAAATCCCAATATGTGTATATTAATTGGTTTACGTGAAAGTTATAGCGTTTACAAATGGTGGTATATATACTGGGATTTTTTTTTTTTTTTTACTAGTAATGGTGGTGATCAGCGACTTATAGCAGGACTGCTGCAGACTTTCTGATACTGGGGGGAACTGACTTGTCACTGACATCTCCAGTGACACCAATACAACGATCAGTGCTAAAAAAAAAATGCACCGGCACTTTACTAATGGCAGTAGACGGGCAAGGGTGAACATGAGGGGCAATCAAAGGGTTATTTGTGTGCTAGAAATGTTTTACTAGGGGGCTGTGTCAGTGTGCTTCACTGTAATCACACTGCTTTGGATGGCTATGCTATGCACAGCCATCCAAAGCAGTGTGCCCAAGCTGACAGGGAGGAGAACTGTTAGTAGACAAAACAGGTGTCCCCGTCGGAGATCCTCGGAAATCACTGGGCGCCGGCCAGTAATCATAGGCCGGGACCCGGTGATTGACAGCCGCAGCCGTTTGCTTGTTATGTTTTCAGTTCAAACTGGTAATTGCTACAGCACTGGCTATTGATGAACCCTGTTTCCAGGAATGTGTGCGATGGGAATATAGACAAGCTTGTCAAATTCATGACACATCATCTTACACAGTAACCCTTCCAGGTATGTGACTTTATGCTGAAATGTTGGCAGTGTTCTGCAGCCAAGAGGAAGCTTTTCTTCAGTCTCCTTTCCTCTGATTTTTTTTTTATTAAATATTTGTAAACGTGCCAAAAACTGCCCTGGCACTAAGATTTCATGATTGTCCGTTATGAGATGGCATCTTATTCCAAGAAGTAAATGCTGACCCTAGATAATGCCTGTACAGAGTGCCAGTAGTGCGATCCCTGTAAAGGGGTATTAAATACCTGTAGGTGTTACAAATACACATTTACTTAGCATGCTGTACTTGATATGAAAATATATCTGTTGCTGGGTCCATTTAAAATCAGAAATCACTCTGGGTACTCCCTGATGTTCAGGGATGGCAACAAGGAATATTAGGGTATAAAGTATACCTAAAGGCAAAACTTTTTTTCATTTTGGAGTGGAGAGGAAATAGAACACCTGTCAGTTTTTATTGGTGTCTGTGCCCCCATTAGGGAGATTCACCTTGTATATTTGTCCTGTTTACCATTATCATTGAAAGTAAAAGAAATCCCATATTTTTTTTGAGTTGTCCACATAAAAGTAATAGAGGGGAAATCTTCCAAAGGGGATGCTAGTTTTGGTGACCTGGGGTTCCCAAGTAATTCCCTTTATTTGCAGGGATTTCACTTCCTGTTTGGCTATGGTACAGGGAAGTCTCCGCAATGGGACACCAATGACAAAAAAGAGAAAAAAAAAAAAAATCTGACGGGTTATATCCATCCCTTACTATATCCAAAATGGAGAAAAAAGTTTTACTTTAAGGTTTCAGATCACAAATTGTGTCTTAAGCAGCAGGCTTGATAGTTTTTTTTGGCTGAATGGGGTGGATGGAGGAATTCTGTCCACCAAGACATTGTATTCTGACAGGTGGACCCCATTGCAGCTGCTCATTGACAAACCTTTCCAGCATGTCCCTTTGATAGAATTCTGCTTTGTCAAGCACGGATTACTTCATGTTGATTAAATTTGACCAGTCCCTGTTGAGCTGGCCAAATTTCAGTCAGTGTATAGCCAGCTTTAGCATGGCGGAAAAAAAGGTGTTCATATTGCTGATTATCGGATATCCTTAGAAAATTCCGATTATCAGATTGTGATACTGATGCAATACTTTTGATTCACCAATTTGAGACAACTTTGCAGATAATTTGTCCAGATTTTGTAACTTAAAGTAATTGGTGGCATACTATTTTTTTTAAACAGTCTACATGGTCACTGTTCATTTAAGAGCAGGGTTAGGTTAACATTTGGTGATATAATTTGACATTAAAGATTATCACCAGGTTTACTGTACCTTTTTAACTAGTTAATGTAGGCCAAACTAGCTATTTTCTACATAAACAAGTGTGCCTGCTGTATAAGCTGTTAGTAGCCTCAGCTACATACTGTATGCAGCCTTGTTTTCTGGCAGGGAGACTGTCACTTTCCATTTCAAATCTGGAACAAAATTGAGTCAGGCTGAGCACAGCTCTTCCATTCATAAGAAGCATTGTATTCTCGGAATGAATACAAAGCTTCCTCTGATTGGCTGAGGTGGGTGGATGAATGATCTCTGACTCAGCCAATTAGAGGATTCAGAGAATACAATGCTTCTTATGAATGGCTGAGCAGTGCTCAGCCTGACTCAGTTTTGTTCTGTGTTTGAGATGGGAAGTTCTTGTCTCACTGTGGGAACACAAGACTGTATACAGTTTGTAGCTGAGGGCGCACTTGTTGGCCTAGGAAATAGTTTGTTTAGGCCTGCATGGCCCAGACAAACTAGTCAAAGGATCAGTAAACAGGTTAAAAGTGACCTCCAAAGTTTCAATGTTAGTAGCACTTAGCCACTTAAGGATGTTTGGCATGCTATATGCCAAAAAAAAAAAAAAAAAAAAAACGGGAGGTATTTACCAGTGATAGACAGGAATTTTATTTACACAGTAACAGATCTTTCTGTTCCTGTGTAAACTGACACTCACAACAGTGTGTGGCATCACAAAGAGATACAATAAAGCAGTTTTTAAAGGGTGGCCTTTACAATCACTTTAAACAGGTTTATGTATACCCCCTTCACTTTTTTCAATTTTGTTATGTTGCAGCCTGATCCTACAGTAGTTTAAATTCATTTTTTTTCTCATTAATCTACACTCAGTACCCCATAATGACAAAGTGAAAACAGAATTCAAGATAGGTTTGCAAATGTATGAAAAAGGAAAACTGCAATATCACATTGGCATACGTATTCAGACCCTTAGCACCAACACTTGAAATGTAGCCCCACTTCTCTTGATCACTGCTGGGATGTTGCTACACCTTGATTGGAGTCCCCCTGTGGGGAAAAAAATTGATTGGACATGATTTGAATGCACACAGCTATATAAAAGGCTTTTACAGCTGATGATGCATACACTATCAGAGAAAAAGGCCATGGGGTCAGAGGTCAAAGGAAATGCCTGCAGAACTCAGACAGAATTATTGAAAGACAGATCTGGGAAAGGCAACACAAAAATTTCTGCTGCACTGAAGGTTCCCCTAAGCACAGTGGCCTCCATAATTCTCAAATAGAAGGGCATATCCCAGGCTCTTTCATCAGCTGGCCAAACTGATCAAGGGAGAAGGGCCTTAAGAGAGGTGACCAAGAACGCAATGACTGAGATCCTGTGTGGAGATGGGACAACCATCACTACAGCCCTCCACTGATCTGGGCTTTATGGCAGAGTGGCGAGACGGAAGCCTCTCCGCCATGCAAAAGACATGAAAGCTGCTTGGAGTTTGCAAAAAAAAAAAAAAGCATCAAAAGAACTATTAGACTGTGAGGAACAAGAGTCTCTGTCTTTTGAAATCCAGATCAAATGGTTATGTCTGGAGGAAACCAGGCACTGCTCATCACCCTCCCAACAGTGAAGTATGGTGGTGGCAGCATCATGCTGTGGGGGTGTTTTTCAGCAGTAGGGACTGGGAGACTGGTCAGGGTTGAGGTAGAGCTGAATGGAGCAAAGTACAGAGATATCCTCAATGAAAACCTGTTCCACAGCACTCAGGACCTCAAATTGGGCCAAAGGTTTACCTTCCAACATAACAACAATTAAGCACACAGCCTGGACAACACGGGAGTGGCTTAGGGACACCTCTGTGAATGTCCTAGAGTGGCCCAGCCAGAGCCCTGACTTGAACCCTATTGAACATCTCTGGCGAGACCTG